CAGCACAAAACAGCATCACAACTCCCCCAGTCTGCCTCTTATTTTCCTCACAGCAACATTAAGTTGAAGAAGAAGAGGAAGAGCAGATGACTGCTGAGCAGGAAGGAGATTCATTTTGCACTGTAAGTGGAGCAGAGCTGATGGCTGGAGAAAGGGGGCGACTGTAGGGGCACAAAAGGATGTCATCTGGAGGGTATTTTTAGAGTGTGAGGTGCACTGATAACTGGCTGCCATTGCAATCTGCCTGCAGGTTCCCAGCAATAATAACTGCTCTCATTCTGCAGATTTACTCAGAGTGAAATCCTCTCATGCAGAGAAACACAGGCAGGCTGACTCTCTCGCACACAAACACACACCACATACTCAAAAATATGGAAGTTCATAAGTGACAAAACAAAGTGAGCAATAAAGAACAAACCAACGCTTCAGCAGGTCAAGATTTTAGAGTGGGATTTGTAGATTTGTGGGTTTTGGGAGCAAGATTTGGGTCTGGTCAGAGTTCAGGTTGAAATCTTAGTATTTTCTCCAGCAGACAGCTAACAGAAGTGGAAAAATAGCTCATCAGCTATATAAAGTTATGTTGTATATTATCAGATGCCCTGTAATAGCTGAACCAGGAAACAGGACTCAAATGCACAACTCAAGACAGAAGAGCTCCATAAAACATTATTTTACTTGCAAAGTCCAGTAAACAGAACTACAATTGATCAGGCAAACAAGTCCAAAAGGGTAAAGGCAAAGTCAAAAGACTGGCAGAAATTAAATAAAAAATACCAAAACACATTAAACACAATGCTGGAAAGCTTGACACAAAGGACAAAGATGAACTGGCACAGAAGTGAGGAACACAGTGATTGTACAGGTGTGCAGGTAATCAGGGTGGGGCAAACAATTACTAACAGCAGGAAGTGAGATCTGAAACAAGAGGGAGAGGTAAGTACAAAATAAAACAGGAAGCACACTCACAAAATGATAATTTCACAAGAACTGAGACACGCCCCTCTAATTACTAATTTTACTTCTTTGGGCTTTTATTTGAATGAAACAAAACTCATTCTTCGGTGGTCAACTGGTAGACAATTGCAACCAGTAGAAATTGTTTTGTTTTAAGCAGTATTGGAAGTATTTAGATCTGAGGTGGTAAAAGTAGATACAATCTGTACTCAAGTAGAAGTACTGATACTAAATTAAATAAAAAATTACTCCAGTAAAAGGAGAAATACCAAACCTTTTTATTCAAGGTAAAAAAAAAAGCTCTTAAAAGTATAAAGGTAAACAGTTGATGTCAGACGGACATTTCTATTGGCTGTTTCTGTTAGAGATATCTCCCTCTCTTGTCTGTTTCCATGCACCGGTCTTGGGGTGGGTGCACCAATGATGCCAAAAAATACATCAAAATAATCAATAATTCCCTTCAAATGCATTAAAACTAGTTTAAAGAAATTACAGATATTTGTGTAAAAATTAGTAAACGTAAAAAGTACAGATACCTAAAAAACGATTTAAATACAGCAATAAAATATACTTCACTACTTCCCACCTCTAAATATGAGGCATCAACAGGATAACTCAGACTGCTCCTTTACAATAGAAATTTTCAAGATAAAACTATCCTTTGAGGAACTTGTGAAAATCATGAGTAGAACCAATGCCCCTTCACAATAAAAGGAGTACAAGTACATGTCATGACTGCTTTCTCACAGGAAGACATCCTGAGTGATCAAAATGGTAATAAACCCCAGATAAGACTCATAACTCACTGAAGGAATTATATACTATCTAATCTGGGAGCAGCTGTTACAGGACATGACTGGAAATATGTCTGCTTATACTGCCACTGAAACCCAGAAATGTGACAGGAGGTGACCTTATTTATAGACGGACAGATGTACGTTATAGCAGGTTAAGTATTTTAAGAATACATTTTGACATTTGTTAGAAGGCAGGGTCTAATGGGATTTCACTTCACCTCCAGGTTCAAATCTAATGGATTTTACTCTCAGTGAGTTTTTGCATGTGGATGCAAAATGCAAAACACTGCATGCAGCTTTGAAGATACCAAACACAGTTCCTGTTGGATGAAAACACTGATTACTCGGCTATTAAAATTCATCAGGAGCATAAACCTTAAATACGCCTCTCAAACCTTGACTTGCAGTTTGATGAATGCTCAAATATTTATTATTTGTGCAGTAGTAGTAGAAGTTACTTTAATTTTGTGATACTACGTTACTGGCTATATTTTTAACTAATAACTATAACGGATTACATTTTTAAAGTAACCCTCCCAACCCTGTATATAGTCTATAATACATTTATATGGTGTGTCATCGCCACCTCCTCTCTGGGTTATTTTAGGGACGATAGCACCACCTGCTGGTGACAAGCATTCAAAATAAATGAGCATGAAATAAATAAAGAACTTGTTTCTTTATAGACTCTGAGTCTCTTTACTTTCAGCATTCAGCTGTAATAATACTTTTAATAATTAATTAATAAGAATACTTGTAAGAAGAACATAATAATTGTGTTTTATGCTAAAATAAAACAGAAATAACCTGCACTGGTTAATGTGGATGTCTGCTATTATCCACTTGCACACCCTTATATACTAACATTTGTTCATTAATGTTGCTTTTTTGTGCAGTTTAACGACTAAACAACATCTGATAACTATAAAAGCCCATTTCAGGCAATGTGACAGGGAAAAATGATTCCTTAAATCATTATTATGAGAAACTTTCTCAATATTTTGACATAGTATTTCAAAATAATGACATAGTATCTCAGAATAAAGAGAAACTTTCTATATATATTTTGATTTAGTATCTATAAATAATGACTTTGAGATACTAAGTCGTTATTTATACTTTCTTATTATGATGTCTTACAAAATCCTTTTTTTGTCATCACATTGGCGGAAATGGGCTTCCCTAGATACCAGCTCATGTTATCTGTATTTTACACTGACAGTATATATAAGTATTTTACACTGACAGTATATATAAGTATTTTACACTGACAGTATTTTACACTGACAGTATATATAAATCTATAAAGTATTTACACTGAACAGTATTTTTACCACTAACCATATTCTTTAATATTTTACACTGACAGGTATTTTACACTGACAGTATCTATAATATATTTTACACTGACAGTATTTACACTGACAGTATATATAAGTATTTTACACTTTAACCATATTACAACTGAAGTATTTTACAACTGACAGTATATATAAGTATTTTACACTTGACAGTATATATAAGTAATTTTACACTGGACAGTATTTTACACTGACAGTATTTTACACTAACGAGTATATATCAGTATTTTACACGACAGGTATTTTACACGACAGTATATATAAGTATTTTACACTAACAGTATTTTACACCTGACAGTATTTACACTGACAGTATAGTATAAGGTATATTTACACTGACAGTATTTTACACTGACAGTATTTTACACTGACAGTTTATTTTACACTAACAGTATATATAATATTTCACTGGACAGTATAATATAAGTATTTTACACTGACAGTATTATAAAGTATTTTACATAACATTTTTACACTAACAGATTTACACTAACAATTAATTAAGTATTTTACACACAGTATAAAGTATTGTTACCACTGACAGTATTATATAAGTATTTTACACTGACCAGTTATATATAAGTATTTTACACTGGACAAGTATATATTATAAAGTATATATTACACTAACATATTTACACTGACATTTTATATAAGTATTTTACACTGACGTATTTCCACTAACCAGTATAATAAGTTATTTTACACTATACAGTATTTTACACAACAGTATAATATAAGTATTTTACACTGACAGTATTTTACATGACAGTATTTTACACAACAGTATATATAAAGTATTCTTACAACTGACAGTATTTTAAACGACCAGATATATAAGATATTTAACCACGACATATTATAAGTATTTTACACTAAACAGTATATATAAGTATTTTTACACTGACAGTTATTTACATCTGACAGTATATATAAGTATTTTACCTGACAAGTATATAAGTATTTTACACTAACAGTATTTTACACTGACATGTATTTTACACTGACAGTATATATAAAGTATTTTGACACTGACAAGTATTTTACACTGACAGTATATATTAAGATATTTACACCTGACAGGTATTTTGACACTGAAGTTATTTACACTACAGTAGTATATAAGTATTTTTACACTGACAGTACTAATATAAGTATTTTGTACACTGACTAGGTTATATTATAAGTATTTTACACTAAGCAGGTATTTTACACTAACAGTATCTTACACTAACAGGTATGTATTATAAGTATTTTACACTGACAGTATATATAAGTATTTACACTGACAGCTATAAATAATTAAAGTATTTACCACTGAACAGTATAATATAAGTATTTTTACACTGCAGTATATATAAGTATTTTACACTGACGTATATATAAGTATTTTTCCACTGACAGTATTTACACTGACAGTATATATAAGTATTTTACAACTAACATATATATAAGTATTTTACCACCTGACAGTGATTTTTTTACCATCTTGACAGTATTATATCAAGTATTTTACACTGACCAGTAAATTTTATAAGTATTTTACACTGACCAGTATATATAAGTATTTTACACTGACATATATATAAGTATTTTACACGACAGTATAATATAAGTATTTTACACTGACAGCTATTATATAAGTATTTACACTGACAGTATAAATAAGTATTTACACTGACAGCTATAATATAAGTATTTTACACTGACAGTATAAATATAAGTATTTTACCACGGACAGTATAATATAAATATTTTTACACTGAAACATAAATATATAAAGTATTAACTGACAGTATATATAAGTATTTTACACTGCAGTTATAATATATCTTCAGACGCTCACTTCCGTTGTCAGTAACCTCTGACCCACTCGACTCTGACGTAGCGCGCACAAGCGGAAGCCCACCGGAGCGCAGGGAAGACATGGTGTTTCTAGCGAGCGGCTGGTTCTGACTCGACGATGTTCCTTCAGCGCGGCGGACGAAACGCGGCTCATGGACCGGCTGCTTACTGCTGGCGTTGTGTTTAACGTCCCAGTGTCTGCAAAGCGGTACAGCTCCGAGAGGTGACCGACGAACAACTTGGGAGTAGATTCCTGTCCGGAGAATGGATGATGGAGTTGTGAGTGTCGCCGCTAACGCTAACCAGGTCATCGATACGTTTGTTGTGTGGTGTTTTAAAGCTTTCGTACTCGGTGCTTATCTATCTCCACCTTAATGTGAATGACATGTGCAGTTTATCAGAGGCGTTTTACAACGTGTGAAAACTTGATATCCCTCAGCTACGCGCCCTGTCCCGGCGTTGCCAGCAGTCCATGCCCGGCGTGGAAAGGAGTTATGCGACTGGGGGGAGGACATGGTCAACATAAGCCAAGGTGGACGCTGACACGACCAACCCCGGTAGGCCACGAATGACCTTTTAACAGCTGCCAGTGCCACATGCATTAACAAAAGCAAAAGAGGGCACTGATGTGTCCATGCAGTGCAGAATAGCCAGAGCATCTTGCAACAGCTCTGCAGTAAATCCCAGTTGTTGAGCAAGAATGTTTGTTTGTCATATGAACAAAAGAAGCGGTATTTCTCTGTGCAGTGATTCTTTTGAGCTTGTAATGTCCAATATAATATATATATATATATATATATATATATATATATATATATTTATAGGTTGGTTGTGTTGTTAGAACTGTATTTATTGGGCTATATTGTGACCATTGTTACTTTTTGATGATCGTGGTCATTATTTGTGGAACCTTTCTTCTTGTTGATGTCGTTTAAACGTTCACCTTGTTTGATTGTACCAACTGGATTATTACAGGGATGCTTTTTCTAATACTTTGTCCGTCCCATTTCCATGAGGGTGAGCCTGGATCAAAATATTAGAAACTAGGGCTGCCATACGTGGGTAAAAACAATCATAACCGGATTAGTTTGGACCCAGTGATCGAGGTATTTATTCACGATTAATGTTAATGCATTTGTTTGTGAGCATTGATTGGCATTTGTTGTGTCTTAACCAAACCAATAAATTTTAATCCTGGAGAACGAATTTGTAGGACAGGAAATCTCTGCAGCACTACAGTGCTCATTATTTTACCTTTATATAAAAAAAACCTGCAGCTTATTGCGATTTTGGCTATAGCACTCCGGCCATCTATTTAGCGATTTTGATAACATGATTTAATTGTGCAGCCCTATTAGAAACACACCTCTCAGTATAACACAATGTAATTCAACAGCTCTACAAACCACAGCCTCCAAAATGACCTCAAAGTTGAGTCAATAACTCCCTGAAACGGTTTCAACACGACTATTACTTAATGTTTCAGTTCCAAAGTGAATTAGTTGTTTACCAGTTAAGCTCTCTATCATGGTAAATGTAATTTACTGTAGTAACGTGATATATGATACATATAGCCTTCTGGAAAATCTATTGAGAGACTGTTTATATGTAAAATATCTAGTCAGGAATGTCTGTTGAATGCCATAAAACTATTGTTATGTTGTCAACAATGATCTAAAATACCCAGAAATGTAAAAGGAAGGGTTACACAGTGTTGATAGTACAGCAAAATTAGTAGAATAGTTTACAAATGTATATAATCTCACAGTATTTAACATTATATACTGCAGTTAAATGCTTATACCGCCTGTATGACTCATGTATCTGAGTTTTGAAGGCAACTTATAGACGTACAAAGTTTTTGTGATTTTTGCATGAAGAATTGTCTGAAAAACCTTGACAGCATGCTTATCCATGGGACTCTTAAATGATTGACTGAGACTGGTGGTTTAGTTAGCAAATTGCCTGAGACTGAAACTGCCTACAGCCTGACAAATGACACCTTTTTTGAAAGTCAAAAAAATATCCGTGTGAGCTTAAATAAAGTGGTGTTCTAGCCAAGGCTTCAATATTTGACTGTACTGTGTGTTAGTCTTCTTGCAGGCCTTGTATAAAATGTCAATATTAATGGTAGCCAGCGCCAGTGTGGCTGCTGTCAGACATTAATTCAGCCTGTCTGCCAAGCCTGAACTTCCTTTCAGTTTAGTCGTGAGTCACACTGACAGTGTCTCTTCCTTCTGTAAGGGCTGAGCGGCCGATTCATCATAACCTCACTTCCGACTATCTACCAGTAAGTTCTTGGTTATTTTGTGGTTTTCATCGCTTCCTCTTTTTGTGTGACTGTCTCTGGTATGTGTTCTTCTAATGTGCACCATCTTGACGTATATCTAATGGAAAGATCTAGTGGGTTTAACTAAGTTTAGAACCTTGTTTGCTAATTTAGCTTTTTTGGGGTAACATTTGTTTGCATAAATGTAATATGAGTTTCTTAAATATGCCTCATTTGGGGTTAACATTATAGATTCAGTCAAGGGGTGCATTTAATGTATATTGATTAATCTAACTGTTATTTATTCTGATTAACAATTAAATCTTTAAACAGGAAACCAAACTACAATCTTGAATCTAATTAGTGATTAAATTGACACAGTTATTTAAAACAGGAAAAACACCAAATCCTCCCTTTTTAGAAGAGGACAGTCAAAATATTTGCATATTTGCTGACTAATTCTCTTCATTGTCACTCAACTGATTCAGCACTATTTCAGTTCTTTCCCAATGTAACACAAACCGTAATCCCTATAACAGAAAATCACTTGCTAAGCCACAATTTTCCATATATATATATATATATATATAGTTCTCCCCTAATTTGGATGTATTATAAATTAGATCGGCCATTTAGCTTTCCATTTAGCATTTTTTCTTTGTCTCTCATCAACATTGACTGTCACTGTCACACCCCGTCAGGAGCACAGCTGCTTAAACACATTTTCTTTGGATAATGGCTCATGTGTGTCGTGATAAACGCAGCACTTTGTGACAAAATTCAGCTGAATGTTTGCATCCGTGTTTGTGTTTCAGCTGTAAGGACGGCGTCTTCCGGAAGTACCAGGGCGCTCGCACTAAAGATGACTTCCTCAGCTTCGTCGATGAGCAGAAATGGAAAGCAGTCGAGCCGGTTTCCTCCTGGTTGGGACCATCTTCGTTTCTGTGAGTCCACTTGATCACGATAACGTGTAATAATGGGGTTACAAACGGAAGGTTTCCCTACAAACATTAAGGTATATTATTAGGGCTGTAATGAATAGCTTGAAGTCTAAATCAACATTCAAATGCTGTTTTGGAGTTTTTTGCGTATCTGTTCATTGTGCAGGGTGTGAGGTTGGGACCCAGGTTACATCGCTGTCTCTGTCACTTTCTCCTATGCTCGTCTGTATTAAGAGCTCCTGGTCTGTGCGTCTGTTTGACCGAAGGCGGGACTGAACTACACACACACACACACACACACACATGCGCACAGCAGACAGGATTGTGGCTTCGACTGGAAGCATTCATCGTGCCTTTACAAAACCGCAACTGACAAATCCTCCTCATGCTGCCTTTACACGCCAAATAAGACTCATTTAATCTGATAAAGGGCTCCTCTCAAATTGAGGATTTTGTTCGAGGATTCTAAAAACATTTTTTTCTTTTTTTTTAACCTCAAAAGAAGCTTTGAATGTAAAGAAAAAAGGTACATTCGTTACAGCCCTATATATTGTACGTCAATACCAAAAGAAGCTCCTGTGGTTATCATGAATGTGTTTATATTGATATTACCCACTCTTGAGGATACTTTTTACCTTTTACAGCTTTCCACAGTGATAACAAAACTCAACATCAGATATCTTTGCTTTTGGCTTTATTCGTAGTGTCTTTCTGTCTTTCTTTCACATTATTATGTTATTTTTTGTGTTCAGGCTTTGTAATAATGTTACAGTTTGGCAAATCCGTGTTCAATGACATGCTGTCGTTTCCTCCTCTGTTGGCAGAATGAATTCAATGTCTGCTTTGTTCAAGCTCTCCATGTTTATCCGGGTAAGTGAGGATTCTTGGTAGTGCTGACTGTCAACACGTATGTTATTGTACATAGGAAAGTATTTATTTCAGTTTCCATTCAAAGCAAGATGTTGCTGCTCAGTGGTAAATCTCATGAGGAAAGCAGACAATGCACTTTGACAGGAAACAGGGATTACAAAATAATAGACGGGAAAGAAATGTAATTTAACTCACAAGTAGCGCAGACAGTACACATTTTAAGGCTAAACATAGGGGAAATATATACAGCGGTTAAGTAAATTATCCTCCCCAGAGACTCAGGTTTTACATTTTTATAGTTTTTTGACCATGCAAAGACTAATCCGGCCTCTTACGTTAGATGACTTGTAATTTACATTAATAAAGGATGAGGCTGTTATTATTTCATATTTCTTTCATTGTCAGCAAATTCCACAAAAAGACCAAAACCAGCATGTTTGTGTTTTTATAAAGGCTTTATTTGGGCACTGTAGGGTTAAGCAAACATTACTCAAACAGGAGGAAATGCACAGTTTTCTGCTGCGGATTAATACACATGTGGTGCTCTAGTGAGTATTTCTGGCAGGGTGAGATTGAATCAAAATAAACTACAGTGCCCATATTCATCATAATGAAGGGACAACCCAGTGCAACAGTGGGGCTCATTGAGTTTAGTTTTTAAACAACAGTGGAGCTCTGTGACACAGGAATACGATATATCAGTCTTTGGCTACACAGATACTTGTTTATAGGATCAATTCACTGATAGTTTTGGTGTTTTTGTTGGATTTGTTGACTATAAGAAAAATGTTGATTCTGTTATTTACCCTTGGATAACATTGTGATAAGCTGGGGAAAAAGTGGTATTTATAAGACATAAAAAACAGATAATAATTTAACAGAATAACACATGTTTGCATTTTATAATTATAGATAGATATTATATTGACATATTGGCTTGTTTTTAAACAGGTAGGTGAAAACTAGCTCATGTCACTTCACTGGTGCAGGTCTGCAGAGAGCTATAAATGTATGCTTTCATGTCTAGAAATGTTACATAAGTTGAACGAGTGGGCTGATGGTGGGCGTTCAAAGCAAAAGTCAAAACATGGAGTCAAATAGCATTTACTGAGAATTGTACCTCACAGCATTCTTATATTTATTTGATAATTTGATTTCATGTGTCAGATGCTCCTTTCGTACTATATGTTACTATTACTGGCTGTCTGTTAACAGCCTCAAGTGAAAATGTTTTTTTGTTTTCCAGCGTTGTCATAACTACATGACCGAGCAGCTGGGGATTCCTGTTTGGGGCTCTTATGTTATCTTTGGCTTGGCCACTCTGTTTTCTGGCCTTGCGTTGGGACTGGTGAGTACTTGTGCAGCACTTATTCACAGTTATAGTATAGTTAATGCTCTTACAGTGTTCATTAAGTACTAACACATTGCATTGCCAGTGAATGAATGGTTGTTGTTGTTTTGTCTTTGCAGTTACTGGTGTTCATCGCAGACTTTGTCTGCCCCTCGCGACGATTTTCATCTCCGGATTACTACCAGAGTGAGTTTCATATGTGATTGTACTGAATAAAAATATAATCACAATCACAATAACTTTATATTGCATTTGTATAGCACTTTTCTTTTTCATTTTACAAGGTGTTATACATGCACACAGAAACAACAGCAATAAAGAATAAGAGACAATATATGAGTAAACAGAACCGAAAACACACCAAGAATCAGAGTTGCTTTTAAAAACTTTAATTAAATAATAATAAAATAAATCACAAGGATATACTGGAGATATTGTGTAAATTCACAAAAAGTCTGATTATAAAAGTGCATTTTCAGAAGGGATTTAACAAGTTAAACAGATAGCTAGCCTGATTTCCTTAGGTAGGCTGTTCCAAAGTACAGGAGCCCTCATCAATAATGCGTTAATGTATATAATTAATAATAATAATATATAATATACATAATATATTATGTATAAGTAAATGACAGGAACAGACAACAGATCATTTACTAGTAGTCAGGTTTTGTGTGTGTATCTGGATTCATGAATGGTCACTGACTGTTGTTCTCGATGTTACTCTGCAGAGAAACAGTCGATGCAGCAGGCGAGGTTACTCCAGCAACAAGAGGAAGATCATGAGGCTGACGGCGAGGAAGACGACGACGAAGAGGACGAAGATGGCGACCAGGATGACGTCTGGAGTAGAAGGAGAGGGTCCCCAGAGGGCCGCCCAGAACCTAAGGGACAGGGTTTCTCTGACGAAGCTCTGAGGAAGAGGGTGGTGGGCAACCGTGAGGAGGAGGAAGAGGAGGACACTTAGAGAGTCACATGGCCCCTACACCTTTTTGAGAAGAGCACCGTGGAGTCAGCGGAGTCGGAGGAGCCTTGGTCCCGAGCAGCAGTGTTTACAGAAGGGAGCCCTAAATGTCCCCCCACCCCTTAACCTCCCCTTCTTCTCCTTCTCCTCTGGGCCCCCAGAAACACCTCGCTTCTTTTCTTCTCCTTCCCTTGTTTTTTAAACGGGAGTGCTTTAAGACTCACCACCGCTCTCTCCGCCTGAGCAGCAGGCTCCACCTGGAACAAGCTGAAGCACTCCTGATACCTGTTTCCACTCGTGGAAACAAACCGCCTGGCTGAGGTATGAAGTGCAGTAGAGATGGATTCTGCAATGTTGTTTATGCTATGCATCGTTTTTTAAAGATTGTTGTGTTTATTATATGTTTATCTCTGATTCATTATACGAGGCTTGGGTTTGAGGTTTATTTTGTTTAAATTTTACTATTCAGCTTACTTTGTGTTTATATATATTTGACATACACTCGACAGTTCAACCCAACAACAATGTTCACACACCACATATTCACCACATTCAGTGTAGGACGGGGAAGAGAGTGGGAAGAAATGGGCCCCAAAATGTCACAGTTGTAATCCTTAAGATTTCAGTCCTGGTTGATTTGGCAACACCTGTGGTTACCGCGGTAACGGCAAGCGCAGTTTAGTACTAAAACACTTGTTAAGCAGCTACTTTGTCGGGAACACAACAGAAGAGTGACGGTTGTGTCTGGTTACAGTGCAGCCAAACAAACTTGCGTTGTTTTAGTAAAGAAGTACGCTGATAGTAACTGCAACCGTGATGCAGTGAGCAGTTTCCACACAACCGCAGGAGACGGTAAAGTGAAGTTTACCTTGTTGAGTAGGAGGTGTGCAGATCTGCGGCCACTCCTTCATCTTCCATTACTTCCCTGCAAACATTTAAATCCACTGATGGGGGACAAAAAAAATGCTGAAGATGGCTGCCGTCTTTTTTGCATTTTTGATAAACAGACAAATCTTGGTGACAAATACATTGCTTCACAATAAAAGCCACCCGTAGAGTTGCCAATTAAATGCTTTTATTGTGAAGCAGCAGCAGTAGGAAATGTTTGGTATGAATTAGCAGTAATTTAATACTCTGCTACAGTGTTACAGGAGCAAACAGTAAACAAACATATCCGTTCAAAGATCAAATTACTCCGGATTATATGCACTCTGAGATCCCCTCCTTCATGTGAAGGTAAATTAAAGGTCCAGTGTGAAACATGAGGATCTATTGACAGAAGTGAAATATGATATAGGTATTCATAGGTATGTTTTCATTAGTGTATAATCACCTGAAAACAATAATTGTTGTTTTCATTAGCTTAGAAAGAGCTGTTTTTATCTATCTCACCTTCCATTGAGGCCTCCATGTTAAACTGCCATATTTCTACAGTAGCCCAGAAAGGACAAACCAAACATTGGCTCTAGAGAGGGCCTATCGCAACTTTCTCGGACAACGTAGTCCCTGCTACACACTTCACAGCCTGTTCCCATTTCCATGTCGTCTAATACAGACGCCTGGCGGTGTTCAGTTCACCACTAGATGCCACTAAATCTGACACACTGGTCCCCCCAGTGTGGGAATGGCGGACTCCACCACCAACACTGAAAACAATAACTACATTAAATAGTTACAGCAGAAAAACACAGACCACAAACAGTATTTAAAAATGGGTTTGATTTCATAGAAGTCTTAAGGATTACACTTAAACACGGGACACAGAGGTTTAAATCTCCAGTTGTGTGTAAAGTCTGCATCCTCTCTGCACAGCTACGTACAGGGCAGGAACCCTTCTTACAGCATCTGTGCTCAGTAATCACACCAAAACGTTGACTTTTGACTAAGCTCCAATCTTTCCTGTTTGCAGAAAACCAGATCCCGGTAGGTAGATGCTGAATTTTAAAAAATGAACAATATTCACGTAAATTAAAAACCCTGGTGGATAGATACGAAGTGTCCCCATAATGTATCATACAATCAATCAAGGGGCGTTTTCATTTTCTTTTTTTGTTGTTTTTTGTTAATGTTTACTTGTGATTCTCTAATTATTAAATGATCTTACTTAAAGAACCCAGATGTGTTGTGGACCTGTCAGTAGGTCTGCAGTACAGTATATGCATGCCATAATACGACTAAAGAGAGGATCAATTTAGGGATTTTTATAAATTGTAAACAGAGAGAAGGCTGGCGTATCCGTCCTGACGCTGCTCTGCGTCGTGGAACAGTAAGAGGACTTTAATGAAGCTGTCTTGCTCAACAAAGGGAGGCATAATTCATCCTAATGTTCTTTTAATTTGACTTTTCTCTTTTTTTTTAGGCTCAACTTGTCAAATTTGAACCTCAACTTCTGGGGTTAATTTATCTAAAAGGGTGATTTTGTGTACATTGGTTTCTCTTTGAAATTGAAACACATTGGCACTTTATGCATCTTTTTCAAATATTAATGCCACTCTGAATCTCAGTCTGTATCCATTTCAGTCTTGTACAGCAAAAAGGAGCCGTGTGTATGTGTGTACGTGTCTGTGTGTGTCTGTGTGTACGACCAGTGTTTTTGATACACATTGCACTCTGTTGGTTGATGAAGCTTACTGTATGATGACATTAATCTTCACGCTTTCTATTCCAAAAAAAAGCTAATTACTCACTTCAGTGACGGTGGAAACAGGTTGTAATTTTTTTTACCCGACCACTATTAACGGCTTGTAGCTTTCACACTTTACTCTTGAATCGGCTGTGCTCCTTTATTGTTTGAACATTTCTTTTAAATAAAGGGTTAACTCTGGAAACACTGTCTCACTTTGGCTTTCTGTCGCTTCCAATAGTTAACTGACACAAATATGAACATCCAGTATTTATATTCATCGCTGATGCACAAAGGAAATAGAAGAGTTGCTCACAGCTGGAAAAGATTTAAATGGTAGATGCCACTGAGACACTTCCAGGAACAGCCTGAAAAACAAACAAGTATCAAATATTTGGCAAAACAATTGCCAAAATTGTACATTATGAAGGTAAGAACATACTACAGCAGCGGTGGAAGAAGCATACAGATTATTTACTTTATAAAACTACCAATACAACAGTGGAAAAAGTAAGTAAAAGTTTGGCTTCTGCTGAAAAGTGCCCAGTGTGTCTGATGTTATATGTGACATTACTAAATGGTTAATTCTGATGTGTCAGTGTGGAAACAGCATTTTACTGTTCTCACTATTTAATATACAGTTCAGTAGTTTAGTCCACTGGTTCTCAACCCAGGGGTCAGGCCCCTCTAAAGGGTCACAATTCAAATTTGATGGGTCATGAGATGATTAATGGGACAGACAAAACTTGTGAAAAATATATTTATATTCGAGCTCCATTCCTGGCCAGCAGAGGTCACTCTTGTACTCATTGTTCAAACTACAAGGAAAGTTTCTTTACATAGGACATAAAATGCTTGAAGACAAGAAACACATGGCAACATAAATAGACACATTTACACAGAGTTTAAAAGACATACAGAATATAAAATAAGCTACATTAAACGGGAGAGTGCAATTAACAGTGCAGTGAAAGAGAAGGACAAACAGCAGACAGGAACATCCACCTCAATGGCTACTAGTATATCAGAGAACTACACTATAGGGCGCAGGGTTCCCAACCTGGGGGTCCTGACCCCCACTACAGGTCACCAAAGCTTCACAGGGGGTCCCGAGGCCTTGATTTTAAAGGTAGTAAGAAATGTCTTTTCTAAAAATATACAGTAGACCTGTATCTCAGCATTTCAACTATTTCTGTAAAGGAAACTAAATAAAAGTTGTTATTTTCTGTTATGTTTAAAGTTTATCATTTAAGATATACATCTCACAGATAAGGGCACGCTGAAGACCTGAACACAAGCTGTAGTCACTGAGCCTTCACTGTAAACACTGAATTTGGCCTATTAAGTATGTATGATTGTTAAAATTAAAAAATATATATAATACAGACAGATTTGTGTTTGAAGTAACTAAAAATATCAGGAAAACTCATCTCTGATCAATATTCACAGGAAATAATCTGCTAAAAATTCATCCAAATGAATTCATCTGCATTGAATATGATACGAAATGTCCATAAAATATGTAACTTAATCAGGGATCGTGACTTTACTCAATGATAGAAAGGTTGGAAACCAGCGCTTTAGGGTGACAGGAAATGTGCAGCAGCACTTAATGTAGCAAATGTGAAGTCCATTTGTTCTCCTCGGGCTCATAGTCACTCTCTTAAGTGGTGTTACTCCCCCTGGATTAAGAGAGGAGCCAGTCTCTGGGGGTGCATCTCTAATCATTGCTGTCATGTCAGCTCGAGCAGCCTTCTGAACGTGCTCAGTTTACCAGGCTTTAATCTTTCCGAGGGTGGAAGAGGAGGAAGGTGTTGGAAGGGATCTCCCTGCTGCACCAGCCGGCTGCAGGCCCCTTCTGATGTTTCAGTGCAGCGAGATTGTACTGTGTGCACACGCGAGCAGATGCTTGATAAAAATCTGCCTGCACATTCAACTGAAGCTGCCTTTACTGGCATTGATTTATCGGGTGCATACAGATTTCCCTGCACTGGACGGGCAGTCGGCTGTTTTATTGTTCTGCAGAATAAAGTGAATGCAGATGGCACCGCTGCTGGTTTAGTGGTTTTTGTTCTCGTTCATTTCGCTCGCTCCGGTCCGTATGGTTTCCTTTTGTCCTTGTTTTAACTTCAACAGGAAACTTATTCTGCAGCAATGGAGGAATGCAAGTATAACACAGTTAAAGGTCCAGTGTGTAACATTTAGGAGGATCTATTGGTAGAAATGTAATATAATATTCATTCATTCATTCAGGTCCTGGAGTCCGCCAACACTTACTCTAGATTGGGCCATTTGCATTTTACTCAAGTTTTGCAGCCACCATACTTTTCCCTCCACGCTTGGGATGGGATGGCAAAGTGAGGGCGTTGCAATTAGCTAATACAACACTTCCACTAAATCCTACACACTGGTCCTTTAAGCCAGGAGTTGTCAAACAGGGGTTTTGAAAGGGTTCCAGGCCGTTCCCAGAAAGTTATCCCAATGAGAGAATGTATAACAATAATTATTCTGTTCATAAGTTTCACAATCTTCACTGTTAATCTACCAATCTACAGTATAGACAGTTTTTAAATAACTAAATCTTATCAGATGATTATCAGAGGATACTTGTCTGGTGGTCCTTTACACCAAAATCCACTGCTTTTAGCAAGAAAGGTTCATAAAATAATTTTTTCCACTTATTAGCCATGCTAGTAGCACCTAGCTGGCTAGTAGCGTGCAACATTAGTCAACCACTGTGGTCTATACTGGAATATCGAAACAATTATTTGATGAATTGCCATAAGATGTTGTACAGACATTCATGATTCCCAGAATATGAATCCAGCAGACTCTGGTGACCTCGACTGTAACTTTAGTGACACCGTGAGGTTGAAATTTGTGGAATTATTATGACTTTGATGAATTTCTATGAAATTTTCTTCCAGCTATTAGATATTCATGGTCTCTGTTGGATGAATGCTAATGACTGATGGTGGTGGGAGCATGTTGGCATGCTAACATTAGCATGTAGACCAAATCGCACAGGGCCTGTGTGCCTGTGCCTGTAGATCTCACCCAACATCTCATCATCTAAATTTGCTTTAAAATAGTTAAAAAATGTTTTTTTCAAGATTATTTCTGACTTAAATACAACTTATATCAAAATGAAGATTAAAACCTTTATTAACACATATACAGAAACATCAATCCATTCATAAAGTTCAAGTTTAAGCACCATCACTACCACTGCTGCACTATAAACGGAGCTGTTTATATAGACTATAAATTGTTTTCTGCTGCAGATCCATCTCAAGCCAACTGGCACACAGTATTGCAGAGTGGAGTGCTGGATTTCATTATTTACCTTCACTCACCTTCCTGTCTGAGTCCAAATCAATCATGTGCTGTCGCTCTGACTCTCAAAATGGAAGAATGTGGCTGCGCACTTACAATTCACTATATACAATCAGCCAGTTTGTTGTGATCAGGGCAAAGTGTGATTGATGGCACATGTTTTGCAGAGCATATCAGACAATGAGCACTAGAGTCTTATTATTTTAACAACTTTAAAGCTGCATATGTGGGGAAACTGTATATCAAAGGATGTGGGCATGGAGCAGGTTTATGGTGCTGAGCTGCAGTGTGGTCCTGGTGTCTATTAACCAATGAGGAGGGGAAGTAAGTGTGACAAGAGACACAGTGTCAGTCTTGGAAGTGAGATGGAAATATTTCACACCAAGATGAAGAACAACCTGACAACAGGGAGCTCGATGAGAGTGTCAGAGAAAGAAGTATTCAAATTCAGATGTTATGAAAAGTCTGAATTTAATATTGATGCCTTTATATTAAATACATAAACAAAGAAGACCATCAGCGAGAAGATTGGCTGTTTCTATAGTTACTGTTAATGCCAACACACAGCATTAGATTTCCCTTGAAATCAATGGGACATGGCGGTGGAAAGACTAGCGCTTTTGTCCCCAGGGGGCGCCAGAATCAACACGAAATTAGAGTTTCTTGTAGAGGCTTCAAGGACATTTCAGCTGTCCTTGTTTTCTAATGTGGGAGGTATTTTATATTTCTTAAATTGTGGAGATTTATGTTTCTTTGGTCCTCTAACATCTAGGGACCATGTTGGAAATATTTGTTTTCACTTTAATGTGTTATTTTTGATAATCCGTTCATTTTAGACACTCATTACAGGTTTTGTGTGTTTTCTGTGTACCTTTTTAATCTAAAAAGTAACTTAACTAAAGCTGTCAGGTAAACAATTTAAATACTCCAGTAAAGTAGATGTAATTAAATGTACTTTATCTGTGAGTCTGTCTATCGTAAAAGTGTCTTTTTATCTGCTGGGACGATGTCCACGGCTTCAACCTGAGTCACTGTTTCCACCTCAGTGGTGAGCAGCCGACCACTAACACAAACAGAAACTTTAAAAGGTCTGCTTTCCCACACTCCTCTATTCTGTTTCCATGCTAGAAAATTCATCTGATTCTCAGCATAAATCAATTTAATTTCCATTTTGGTAACTGCATTTTTTTGTTGTTGAATCTCATAATGATAATGGGAGCGTACTCCAACGAATGATGAATTATATCAAGTGCCTTTTTTCTGCCTTGAAAGTTTCATTATGTGAGAATCGAGAGCCTCTTCAGTATGCAGGACGAGGCAGAAGCATTTTTGGATTGAGGTCTTTTTTGAATATAAATCCCCGGGCCAGTGGCCAGGAGGGTTTTTGCTCAAACCACAAAAATCCATGAGAAAAACAAGGCAGTGTTATATGATCCCTCCTCGCTCACTGAGCTACTGGACGCCAGCGAGGTGCGAGTGTGAGCGTTCAACAAGGCAGCACTTGTTCTCTAAGCTGCTGTGTCCCCTCAGTGTCCTCCATGTGGTTAGACCATTAAAACCTATAAAGAAGATGAAGAGATTGAGATTCCTCTGTTTGGGCTTGTGATGATGATTTATTCATCAATCTGAAATGCTGTATGAGGATAATCAGGAGACTGGGACAATGGGGCTAGTATTGTTTTTTGCTCTTTCTGCCTTTCCTTTCTTTCTAAAGCTGCCTTCGTAGGAACATTTCTTATGATCCATATGTTCAGCAGCTTTTAATTCAAAATAAAAGCTCAACTGAGGAGAATCTTTCATGCACTGCAAACAAACTAATAAAAGCATCAGCCTATTTTTAATCTTATCTGTAAAAAAAACTTCTACTAA